CATATACCATGCTTTGATTATTCATTCACCCATTGATGGACACTTGTGCTTCCCCTTTTTGGCTGCTGGAAATAATGCTGCTGTGAAAATGGGTGTACCGATATCCCTTCAAGTCCCCTTTGGGTGTGTGTGCAGAAGTAGAACTGCTGGATCATATGGTAATTCTATTTTTAGTTCTTCGAGGAATCACTATACTGTTTTCCATAGCAGAAGTTGAAATTAAATTAAAAAAAAATCTTCCCGGCACAAGCTGGCTTGTATGGTTTTGAAATCCGTACTCTCGCCCTCCCTCCTCTCTCCTTTGGTTCTGTGCTAGATCAAAGCAGAAATCTAGCACACAGCATCCAGGACAGCCAAAGACCAAAGCCCATCCCCTTCCACATCACCTCCTCCTCACCCCTCCACTTTTCAACGCTGCCTTCCTGGGCTCCAGATCCAATGCTTTATTTTTAGCCCACGCATTGGACTGGGGCTCCAGGAATGCACTTGATGCCTGAGGTGTAATCAGACCCCTGCGTGGACCGCTTTTAGCTCCTGTCTTTAGCTTGACACGATAAAAAGCCTTCAACAAAGCAGCTGTAAGCTTGTGGGTTGCAGGTCTGATCCAGTTTTATTTAACCACTAATAATTTGAATTTTTTTTTTAAAAAAGTGGTCCGGGTGCGGTGGCTCATGCCTGTAATCCCAGCACTTTGAGAGGCCAAGGTGGGCGGATCACCTGAGGTCAAGAGTTCAAGATTAGCCTGGCCAACATGGTGAAATCCTGTCTCTACTAAAAAAAAAAAAAAAAGTACAAAAAAAAAAAGCCAGGAATGGTGGCAGTTGCCTGTAGTCCCAGCTACTCGGGAGGCTGAGGCATGAGAATCCTTTGACTCTGGGAGGCAGAGGCTGCAGATCGTGCCATTGAACTTCAGCTCAGGCAACAGAGTGAGACTCCATCTCAAAAAAAAGAAAAGAAAAGAAAAGAAAGTGGCCAGGCACGGTGGCTCATGCCTGTAATCCCAGCACTTTGGGAGGCTGAGGCAGGTGGATCACGAGGTCAGGGAATCTGGGAGGCGGAGGTTGCAGTGAGCCGAGATGGGGCCATTGCACTCCAGCCTGGGCGACAAAGCAAAACTCTTTCTCAAAAAAAAAAAAAAAAAAAGTAAAATAGACATAAAATTAACCACCATAACCATTTTTAAGTGTACAGTTCAGTGGCGTTAAATACTTTCACAGTGTTGTGCAATTATCACAACCATCCATATCTAGGGCTCTTCTCATCTTCCCAAACTGACACTCTGTTTGGGAACATTAAACACTAACTCTCATTCCCTGTCCCGCAGCCTCAGGCACCCACCATTCCACTTTCTGTCTCTATGAATCTGACTACCCTAGGTACATCATATATGTAGAATCATAACTGTATTTGTCCTTTTAACATAATGTTCTCAAGGTTTATCTGTGTGGTAGCATGTGTCAGGATTTCTTTATTTTTACTTTTTATTTTTTTTAGAGACAAAGTCTTACTCAGCCACTGGAGTGCAGTGTCATGATCATGGCTCACTGCAGCCTCCACTTCCTGGGCTCAAGTGATCCTCCCACCTTAGCCTCCTAAGTAGCTGGGACCACAGGCATGTGCCACCATGCTTGGCTAATGCTTTTATGTTTTGCAGAAGTGGAGTCTTGCTGTGTTGCCCAGCCTGGTCTTGAACTCCTGGGCTCAAGTGATCCTCCTACCTCAGCCTCCCAAAGTGCTGAGATTACTGGCATGAGCCAATATGCCTGGCCAGAATTTCCATTTTTTTCCCCTTTGGTTTTTGTTTTTTTGTGAAGTCTCAAATAATTTCCCTTTTTAAAAGCTGATAATATATCATGCTTTGTTTATTCATTCACCCATTGATGGACACTTGTGCTTCCCCTTTTTGGCTACTGGAAATAATGTTTCTGTGAAAATGGGTGTACAGATATCCCTTCAAGTCCCTTTTTAGCATATGCACAGAAGTAGAACTGCTGGATCATATGGTAATTCTATTTTTAGTTCTTTGAGGAATCACTATACTGTTTTCCACAGCAGAGGTGGAAATAAAAAAAAAAAATAGTTGCCAAACTCTAGATTTGGGGCTTCTGCTAAGAAACTGGAGATCTGACCCCAGTGGTCTTGCACTTGCAGAACCAGCCTCCTCAGGCCCCTCAGAGACACCTCCCAGCTGAGCAGTGCCCTTTCCCCAGAGGTCTGGGTCCCAGCTCTGGAGGACCCTCTCTCAATCTTCTCATACTTTATTTATTTATTTATTTATTTATTGAGACATAGGCTTGCTCTGTTGCCCAGGTTGGAGTGTAGTGGCACACTCTCGGCTCACTGCAGCCTCCACCTCCCAGGTTCAAGTGATTCTCCTGCATCAGCCTCCCAAGTAGCTGGGATTACAGGCATCCACCACCAAGTCTGGCTAATTTTTGTATTTTTAGTAGAGACGGGGTTTCACCATGTTGGCCACGCTGGTCTCGAACTCCTGACCGCAGGTGATCAGCCCTCCTGGGCCTCCCAAAGTGCTGGGATTATAGACTGAGCCACCACACCTGGCCTCTCACTTCTAATAGTGCCAACCTCTTTCCTTTTTCCCTCTAACCCTAGGCAGTTCCCTCAGTTACACTTTGTGATACCACAGTCCCTTTTTGTCTTTCCAGTAGTCCTGCACCTGGTTAACATGTCCCCTCTATTACATTCTCTCTGTTAAAGCACCTGGTGTGGTTTTCGTTCTCTTGGCTGACAGATCCCACTCAGCTGGTGTTCTCACCTGAAATTGCTAGACAGGAGCTGCCCACTTTGGTCAGGTATATGCTCTTCTGTTCCCCTATTCCTGCTCCCTACTTTTTTCATTTTTATTTTTTTGATACAGGGTCTCACTCTGTCTCTCAGGCTGGAGTGCAGTGGTATGATCATGGCTCACTGCAGCCTTGACTTCCTAGGCTCCAGCGATTCTCCCACTCCAGCCTCCCAAGTAGCTAGGTCCACAGGTACACACCACCACACTCCTGAGCTCAAGCAATCCACCCACCTTGGCCTCCCAAAGTGTTGGGATTATAGGTGTGAGCCACTGCGCCCAGCCCCCATTTTTCTACATCTTGCCGACTCTGCCTGCCTGACCCTAAGGGGATCTGATTTGTGTTCCTGTCTACTGTAATAACGCCCATTGACTGAGCATGACCTATGTGCCAGAGTCTGTGCATAAGACTTTACGTAAGTATCTCATGCAGTTCTCAACATAACACCGTAAGGTGGGCACTGTTATGCTCCCCATTGTACGGATGAGAACACTGAGGCTGGGAGAGGGGAGGACTTGACCAAAATGACAGCCAGGGCCAGGCTCGGTGGCTCATGCCTGTAATCCTAGCACTTTGGGAGGCCGAGGCGGGTGGATCACCTGAGGTCAGGAGTTCGAGACTAGCCTGGCCAATATGGTGAAAACCCATCTCTACTAAAAATACAAAAATTAGCCGGGCATGGTGGTAGGTACCTATAATCCTAGCTACTCAGGAGGCTGAGGCAGGAGAATCACTTGACTGTCGGGGGTGGAGGCTGCAGTGAGCTGAGATTACACCACTTCACTCCAGCCTGGGCAAAAGAGCAAAACTCTGTCTCGAGAAAAAAAAAAGAAAAGAAAAAAATTAAAGCTAATTTTTTTTTTTTTTTGGTAGAGACAGGGTTTCATCATATTGGCCAGGCTGGTCTTGAACTCCTGACCTTGTGATCCACCCGCCTCAGCCTCCCAAAATGCTGGGATTATAGGCATGAGCCACCGCACCTGGACAGAAGTTACCTTTCTGAGTTTTGAGAACAGCATGTCTGTGACCATCAAGAACTCAGTTCAAGTTCAGGAGATCTATCATATAGCATGGTGATCATAGTTAATAACAATGTATTGTATACTTGCAAATTGCTGACAGTAGGTTTTGACTGTTCTCATCATAAAAAAAATGGTATGTGAGGTGATACATATGTTAGTTTGATTTAGCCATTCCACATATTTCAAAACATGTTTTTTATATTTTTTTTTTTTTTTTTTTTTTTAGACGGAGTCTACGTGTTGCCAGGTGAGTGAGTGGCGCATCTCGCTCATGCAACCCCTCCCCCCCATTCTCCCTCACCTCCTGATATGGACTACAGGCCCCATCGCGCCTAATTTTTTTTTTTATTTTTAGAGAGGGGTTCCTGTGTCTCGTCTCTACTTTGTCGCCCTCCTAAAGTTGTTAAGTTGAGCCGGCATTTTTTTTTTTTTTTTTTTTTTAATTTTAGAGAAAGGGTCTTGCTCTGTCGCCCAGGCTGGAGTGCAGTGGCTTGATCGTGGAGTGGAGTGACTGCTGGAGCCCTGAACTCCTGGGCTCAAGCAGTCCTCCTGCCTCAGCCTCTTGAGTAGCTGGAACTGCAGGTATGTACAGGTATGTACCACCACATTTGGTCATTAACAACAACAAAAAAATTGTAGAGATGGGGGTCTCACTATGTTGCCCAGGCTGGTCTTGAGCTCTTAGCTTCAAGCGACCCTTAGCCTGAGCCTCCCAAAGTGCTAGGATTACAGGTGTGAGCCCCCATGCCTGGCTGCCATTTTGTTTCTGATGATCATTTTCCTGCCTTTTTTTTGGGGGGTGCAAAAAAATAGTTTTAGTCCTCAGCATCTTACCTGTATCATGTTCACCAAGGGACCCCAACCTGGTGGCTCCCTGCCTCAGGGCAGCGGACTATCCATCTCTCCCGGGATGGCTTGGTAGCACCTGAGAGCATACCCAGATGGCCTGGGATTTGAGAAAAACCATGACCCAGACAGATCACAGCTTGCAGAGCCCATGGTCTCTTGCTATCTTCTGAAAGCAGTGACCTCCCAGAATCTTCCTGTTGGTCCAGGTACTGTGAAGGCTCAGGCCCCACACCCACCCTCTGCCTTCCATCCTGGCAGCTGGGTTGCACAGCAGTACTGCCCAAATGATGCCCCTGCCTGGGCTGGTGCCAACATTCAGACCACATGGAAGGAAAAGCGTTCTTTTTATTGGTCTGGCTTGCTCTCCTGCGCATCTCTCAGAATGCCGGTCTGTCCTTGTGGGCTCAGGTGTCGCAGTGGTGGTCACAGTGGGGCCTGCCTCTGCTGCCCACCTGGCAGTGGCCTCAGTCAGTCTTCCTGAACCCTGGAAGGCAAAGGCCACAAGATGGCATGGGATTCTGAAGGCAGCAGGCTTCATCCCCACCATCACCTCAGATGCCCAAGTACCCCTCACAGCTGGCATGATGTAGTCACCCCAGAAGCCATGGGTCTCAATGACCCACTGTCATAATAGCTAGTTTTCTTTTTATTTATTGCATGGATTAAAGGAGACAGATATTTCCCCAGCACAGCCACTTGGCCTCTCCATTCTGAGACATAAGGTGGTCACAGAGCTGTCAGTCAAGAAAGACGATGTGCTTTCGCCCAGCCCAGCCACTGAAGCTGTGTGACTGTGGGCGAGTCACTCCACCTCTCTGAGCCTCAGTTTCCTATTGGTCGAGTGTAGCATTGGTAAAGCCTACCTCCCCAGTTGCCATTAGGCAAGTACAGCCATGGAGAAGATAGTGTTTGGGGAAGTGTAAAGCTCTATAAGAGAATGAAGACACATTTTTCTACTGTTTCACACTTCAGGCCTTTGCATCCATTCCTCACTTGATCTTCACAACACACTTGTGTAGCAGAAAAGCATTACACCTATTTTCCAGTTGAGGAAGCCAAGGCTACATGGCTCATCCAGGGTCACAGAGCTAGTAAACTGGCAGAGGTAGGACTCGAACCTGGGTCCTCTGCCACCGGGCTGTGTTCTTTCCTGTATGCTAAGTCTCTTTCTAAATGAAGACCCTGCTAGGGAGAAAAAGAGTGAACACAGGAAGACTTTAAAAGTTACCTGTCAGCCTGAACTTCTGGAAGAGGGGGATGAAACCTTGCAGGACGCTGTGGATGCGGTACACTGCTCAGAAGCAAACAAAAAGTGAGTTAAGTTTGTACCCCCACAAAGGATACCTGGCCACCATTAGACAAGGACCTAACTCATGCAAACAAAGCTCTGATGGCGGAATTTCAGGCAGCAGGTTAAGCTTAGATAATGGTACTAGAGTTATTATTACTGAAAACAACAACCGTGAACAGCAGGAATAGTGGCAGGAAACTCACTCGCCAAATTCAGTTCCCAACTCCATTAACTAACTTGTTTTCAGTATCTGGCTAGTTCTATTTTGTTTGTCACTTTTATCTATTTATTTTATAGACAGAGTCTTGCTGTGTTGCCCAGGCTGAACAAATTCCTGGGCTCAAGCGATCCTCTTGCCCCAATCTCCTGAGTAACTGGAATCATGGGCGTGTGCCCTGGGCCCAGCCTGTTTGCCACTTTAAACTGTTGCTGTTGCATTGTATGGAGCTGCCCATTTTTCCCACAGGGTTTTGCCAGTGACCTTACATTGACCTTGAAAGTGGTCAGGAAGAAAACATGAGCATAAGGAAAATTTGTTTTAAAGTGTATATTGTGACTCTCTGGTCCATATTTCAATGAGTATGAAAATGAATATTTCTACCCGCCACCCCTCCAAGAGACTGTGTGTGTGTGCATTCTGGGGAGGGGCTTACCTAGTCCAAAGTAGATGCCAACAGTTTCCAGGGAGGCAAAGGTGAGCAGGCCGACCCCAAGAGACATGAACCAGTCTGGAAGGGCAGTGAGGGAGGGAATGGTCAGCCTCCAGGTCTTGACGCCCCTGCCCCCTGCACCCCACCCATGCCATTCCCCTGGTGCATTCCCCAGGGCACCTCCCCTCACCTGCGTAATAGTGATAACACACCAGCAAGGCCCCGATGGCAAAGCACAGGAGGACGAAATGGAAAAACTCATCTGTGAAGGCAGGGGTGGGGAATCAATATCTGCTGCTTTCTCTCTTTTTTTTGGGCAGAGGAGACAAGGTCTTGCTCTGTCACCCAGGGTGGAGTGCAGTTGTGCGATCACAGCTCATTGCAACCTTCAAGTCCTCGGCTTAAGCAATTCTCCTGCTTCAGCCTCACAAGTAGCGAGGCCTACAGGTGCATGCCATCATACCCAGAGAATTTTTAAATTTTCAGTAGAGACAAGGTCTCGCTATGTTGCCCAGGCTGGTCTTGAACTCCCGGCCTCAAGCAATTCTCTCATCTCGGCCTCCCAAAGTATTGGGATTACAGCTGTGAGCCGGCAGGTCTGGCCTTTTTTTTTTTTTTTTTTGAGACGGAGTCTCGCTCTGTCGCCCAGGCTGGAGTGCAGTGGCGCGATCTCGGCTCACTGCAAGCTCCGCTTCTCGGGTTCACGCCATTCTCCTGCCTCAGCCTCCTGAGTAGCTGGGACTACAGGCACCCGCCACCGTGCCCAGCTAATTTTTGGTATTTTTAGTAGAGACGGGGTTTCACCGTGGTCTCGATCTCCTGACCTTGTGATCCACCCGCCTCGGCCTCCCAAAGTGCTGGGATTACAGGCGTGAGCCACCGCGCCCGGCCTTTTTTTTTTTTTTTAATTACAAAAAGTCTCTGTGTTGAGCACCATGGTCTTTCCTCTTGCCCTCCCCTTCCTCCTAGAAGTCCCCATGGATTCCAGGCCTGGAGCGGGGAGGTTACTCCCATTTTCACTGCTCCTTTCCCAGAGTCTGGTCTAATCTAACCTTACAACTCTCTCAGCTCAGCTGACCTCCAGCTCCCCATCCTGGCCACAAGGCCTGGAAGGCATTTACCATCCTAGAGACTGTGCATAGCAGAAAGAGCAGAGGACCAGGGCTCAAGCTCAGGCCACGCCACTCACGAGCTGTAAGGCCACTCCCCAGCCTGGAACCTCAGTTTTCATATCCGCAAAATGGGAACCATTGTCCCACCCTGTTGAGTTGATTCTAAGCTGAGTAATATGTAAACTGCAGGGCATACGACAGAGGTGGGTAATGATTGCTACTGTGCTATTTCACCCCTAGAAATCCAGCCAGACAGGAAAAAGCAGGTCTGCTGCACCAAGTTCCTTACCATCTTTCTTTATATTCTGTCTGCTTAACTGAGAGGCCTCCACTTCTCCTTAGGAACAAGAGAGAGAGATGAGTGTTTAACTCTGAAGCAGGACGGCAGGTGGGATTTTCTCTTCCCTACGTCATTGAGAATTAATATCCGGGGTACTTCTTCCTGGGTCAGAGGGCACTCACTGCAGGACCAGTCAAGCAAAACTGTGAAGATGGGGGTGCTGTCCTTGGAACCCCCACTGATTTCCTCCTCCTTCCTCAGGCCTGAGTCCACCTTCTGTTCCATTTCCCCTGCACTGGAGATTCCCCTTCTGAATCATAGTGACATTGGCTGGCAACAGTCCCTGCTGGGACTAACCCACCCTCTCAGGCTGTCTGAAGTCCCAACCCATCGTCTGGAATCAACACCCACTCTGGCTGTCCTATTTGAGCTTGTGTATTTACCACTTGCTGGGTCAGAGCCTCTCCTTCGGAGTCCTGGAAACGAGAAACTCAACATTAGTGCCCAACCCTGCTTGGGGTGCCTTAACAGCTGCCTCTACCCTGGGGAAGGCTATAGGTGACCTAAAAAAATGTCCCCATGGAATTCTGCAGCCCCCAAGGATCCTCCTTTCTACTGATGGCTGGTTGGTTGTAATCTCCTTGGGTCTTTCTGGGACAGCTTTCCAAGCTCCCCGGACTCCCTGCTTCATGCCACAGCTGGCCCAGCCCACTTGATGAGCCTAGGCTCAGTGGACCTGGGGCTCCTGTTTCTCACAGTCAGATACCCCAGCAGGAGCTGGCTGTCTTAGGGGAGAGGTGATGCCTAGACCTGGCTCAACACCAGCACCAACGACCTCTCTCCCCTAACTGGACACTCACCTGATTCCCCAGAGGGTACCACCTCTCCTGGAGCATCTGCACAGAAAGGAAATCAGTGATCATATACCCATGATCCTCTGGGGAGGGAGAAGTCATGCTTCAGGGAAGGTGGATCCTGCTGGGAGACTTTCCACTTAACCTGGAGTGTGCCAGGTGGGGAATGGAGCCGGCTGGAGGGTTCCTGTTCCAACTAAAGGGGCAGCCACCACCCACCAGCCACAGAAAGCTGCTGTAGAAATGCCTGCCCACTCTTACAGGTCTGTCAATTTCCCCAGAGAAGCCAGGTTTTCAGTTAAACTTCCTAATTATAAAAAAGTTTGGGCCGGGCGCGGTGACTCACGCCCGTAATCCCAACACTTTGGGAGGCCGAGGTGGGCAGATCACAAGGTCAAGAGATGGAGACCGTTCTGGCTAACATGGTGAAACCCCGTCTCTACTAAAAACACAAAAATTAGCTGGGCATGGTAGCACGCGCCTATAGTCCCAGCTACTTGGGAGGCTGAGGCAGGATAATCGCTCAAACCCAGGAGGCAGGGGTTGTAGTGAGCTGAGATCACACCACTGCACTCTGGCCTGGCGACAGAGTACGACTCTGTCTCAAAAAAAAAAAAAAAAAAGTTTGGCAACTCTCAAATCAAAATGCCATTGCTTGTGAGACATGACATTATTTTATGTACTATCATGTAAGAAAAACCCTTGACAGTTATAACTGTAAGTTGCTAGTGATTTTTTTTTTTTTTTTTTTGAGATGAAGTCTTGCTCTGTCCCCCAGGCTGGAGTACAGTGGCGCGATCTCCACTCACTGCAAGCTCTGCCTCCCAGGTTCACACCATTCTCCTGCCTCACCCTCCTGAGTTGCTGGGACTGCAAACGCCCGCCACCACGCCTGGCTAATTTTTTTGTATTTTTAGTACAGATGGGGTTTCACCGTGTTAGCCAGCATGGTTTTGATCTCCTGACTTCGTGATCTGCCCGCCTCGGCCTCCCAAAGTGCTGGGATTACAGGCGTGAGCCACTGCACCCAGCCGCCAGTGATTTTTTAAAATAGAGATAGGGTCTTGCTATGTTGTCCAGGCTGGTCTTGAACTCCTGAGCTCAAGCAATCCTCCCACCTTGGCCTCCCAAAGTGCTGGGATTATAGTCATGAACTACCATGCCTAACTTTGCCAGTGATTTTTAAGATGCATCCTGATTTCAGAAATATTCAAATGTGAAAAAAATGTGGTGTAGAATTGATGAAATATATTTACATTCATAATTTTATTTTTAAAATTTATTTATTTAGAGACAGGTTCTCTCTCTGTCATCCAGGTTGCAGGGCAATGGCACAATCATGACTCACTGCAGTCTCAAACGCTTGGGCTGAAGCACTCTTCCTGCCTCAGCCTCCCAAGTAGCTGGGATTACAGGTGCGAGCCATAGTGTCTGGCTCTCACAATCATAATTACATATATATATAATTTATATATATTTATATATTATATAATTTTATATAAACATATATTTATATATTATATAATTTGTATAAATTATCTATTATATATTTATAATATTTATTTATTTATTTATTTGAGACAGAGTCTCACTCTGCCGCCCAGGCTGGAGTACAGTGGCATGATCTCAGCTCACTGCAACCTCTGCCTCCCAGGTTCAAGCAATCCTCCTGCCTCAGGCTCCTGAGTAGCTGGGATTAAGGGTGCCACCACATCTGGCTAATTTTTGTATTTTTAGTGGAGACGGGGTTTTGCCATGTTGGCCAGGCTGGTCTTGAACTCCTAACCTCAAGTGATCCACCTGCCTCAGCCTCCCAAAGTGCTGGGATTACAGGCGTGAGCCACAGCGCCTGGCCACACAATCATAATTTTAAAAAAGCATTCTGGGCCTGGCGCGGTGGCTCATGCCTGTAATCCCAGCACTTTGGGAGGCTGAGGCGGGAGGATCAGGAGGTCAGGAGATCAAGACCATCCTGGTGAACACAGTGAAACCCCGTCTCTACTGAAAACACAAAAAAATTAGCCAGGCGTGGTGGAGGCCGTCTGTAGTCCCAGTTACTTGGGAGGATGAGGCAGGAGCATGGCATGAACCCAGGCGGCGGAGCGTGCAGTGAGCCAAGATCACACCACTGCACTCCAGCCTGGGCGACAGAGCAAGACTCCGTCTCAAAATAAATAAATAAATAAAGCGTTCTGGGCCGGGGGCGGTGACTCACACCTGTAATCCCAGAACTTTGGGAGGCCGAAGCAGGTGGATCATAAGGTCAGGAGATCGAGACCAACCTGGCTAACACAGTGAAACTCCAACTCTACTAAAAACACAGGGAAAAAAAAAAAAAGCATTCTGTGTTTCTGTGTGGGCCGGGCACGATGGTTCACACTTGTAATCCCAGCACTTTGGAAGGTCAAGGCAGATAGATCACTTGAATCCAGGAGTTCAAGACCAGCCTGGGAAATATGGTAAAATCCTGTCTCTACCAAAAATACAAAAATTAGCTGGGCATGGTGGTGCATGCATGTAGTCCCAGCTTCTCAGGAGGTTAAGGTAGGAGAATCGCTTGAGCCCGGGAGGTGGAGGTTGCAGTGAGCCGAGATGGCACCACTGCACTCCAGCCTGAGCAAAGGAGTGAGACCGCATCTCAAAAAACCAAAAAATAAAAAAAAAAAACCTACCCCTACCCTGACCCCCCAAAAGCCATTCTGTGAGCCAGATAAAAAGCATCTGCCCACATGGGCCACCCATTTGCACATGCCTGCTCCAGGCTATCCAGATGCAGGTGATGACACCTGCTGCCTTTTACCCATAGAACTCTGGACTAGACAGGCAACTCCAAGCTCATGCCATCTTGCTGGCTTCTAGACCTACCAGGGTCTGAGCATGTGGGAGCCAAGCTGGCTTGTATACCTCAATCCTTGGCTCCCGCCCTGATTGTTGAGCCACTTGGCTGGGCTGCCAAGGGTGAGTTGAGTCCTATAGACCTGAGCTGCCACCTCTGCATTAATCCAGTCCTGGGTGTCCTTCCCACACCGTTCACCATGTGGTTCTTGGTGCCTGTTCTAGTTCCCTGGTGACCTTGCTCCTAGCCTGTCATCTTCTTTCCCTTAAGGGCAGACAGGCACTTGTATGATCTTCCTACCATCAGGCCCCGACTTCTGTACGTTTCCTGTCCCTCAGGGCAGCCCCAGGACATGAACACCACAAGGGGCACTTAGCATGTGACAATAGGCACTCAGCACACTGAACGCCATCTGCAAAGTGATCAGAGGGGCCAATACGGAGAGTGCAGAGAGCATATCAAGGACAACATGAAATGAGACTCAAGCAATGTAATTTACTAAGCACCTCCAATGTCTGGGGGAAAGAAGTAATTCATGAATACGTGACCGTATCTACATTTTCTACGGTGAATATGAATTACTTAATGAGAAAAATATTTTAAAATACATATGAACATAAAGGTTTATCTTATTTTATACCCAGTGAAACCTTTCTTAAATTACTTGAGTAATTAAAAACATTTTTCTAAACCAGATTATACTTGTTTCTGTAACAAAAAAAAAAAAAAAGAAAGAAAGAAAAGAAAGATGCCTGTAATTCTAGCACTTTGGGAGGCCAAGGCGGGAGGATCACTTGAGCTCAGTAGTTTGAGACCAGCCTGGGCAACATGGCAAAACTCTGTCTCTACTAAAAAATAAAAAAAATTGGCTGAGTGTGGTGGCACACATCTGTAGTCCCAGCTACCTGGGAGACTGAGATGGGAGGATCACCTGGGCCCAGGAGGTTGAGGCTGTAGTGAATCATGATCACACCACTGCATTGCAGCCTGGACAACAGAGTGAGACCGTGTCGCAAAAAAAACAAAAAACAAAAAACAAAAACAAAAACCCACAAGACAGATGACCCAGAGGTAACCACTGATTGTATTTGTTACATAACAAATGAAATCTTTTCTTTAGCATATACATAAGTGTTTTCCACTGTTTTACTTAGGTTATTGCCAGGCATTAGGAGACGATGTAGATTTCAGAAATATTGGATTAAACACAGATATTAAAGCTTTCTTATCTAGTAGTGTGCATTTGTCATATTCTTTGGCAAAAGAGTTCATTCTACAAGTTCTTTTTTTTTTCTTTTTTTGTTTCTCATTCTACAAGTTCTATTGCATCCTAGTGCTACCAACCAAAGCGCCATATTATTTATGCCTCCTCACTGTAGTAATCAGGGTATTAGAAATAATTATTCTGTAAAATGGGTATTGTGGAGATCAGATCCTTAATTTTTCCTTGTGTGCTGAAACAGCCCAGTATTCCAAGAGAGGTGTTACCGATCACGTCCCATTCTACTCGTTTAGGAGCTGAGGCCCAGAAAAGTGGGTGACTGTTCATGGTCACCCCATAAGTCAAGGTTATAGCTCAGACGAAAATGCAGGATTGGCTGGATGAGGTGGCTCACGCCTGTAATCCCAGCACTTCGGGAGGCCGAGGTGGGCAGATCACAAGGTCAGGAGATCAAGACCATCCTGGCCAACATAGTGAAACCCCGTCTCTACTAAAAATACAAAAAATTAGCTGGGTGTGGTGGTGTGCACCTGTGGTCGCACCTACTGGGGAGGCTGAGGCAGGAGAATCACTTGAATTCGGGAGGTGGAAGTTGCAGTGAGCTGAGATCACACCACTGCACTCCAGCCTGGGCGACAGAGTGAGACTCCGTCTCAAAACAAACAAAGACCCCAGAAAATGCAGGATTTCCTCAAGACAATCTCATGCCCACCTCCCCACCTGCCAATGTCATAACCACCCAACTGGCCACATCTCCTGTATTTGGGTGGGACTTTTCAGCTCATGAATCACCCTCATGACCTTGTTTCTGCTCAACAAAGCCCTCTTTTCCTTCGTCTAATTGTTTTCTCCAAAGCCACTGGGAAACTGATTACCTCCGTAGAGCTGAAGCTCATCCTTCAAAACGTCAGGCTCCCCATGCCCAGGACCTGGATGGAGACAAACCCTTTAGTCAGAACTCCCAAACACAGTGACCCAGGCCACTTCCATCTCCCATGGCTTTGAAGCTTAAGAAGTACCAGAGTCCGGCCGGGCGCGGTGGCTCAAGCCTGTAATCCCAGCACTTTGGGAGGCTGAGACAGGCGGATCACGAGGTCAGGAGATCGAGACCATCCTGGCTAACACGGTGAAACCCCCTCTCTACTAAAAAATACAAAAAACTAGCCGGGCGAGGTGGTGGGCACCTGTAGTCCCAGTTACTCGGGAGGCTAAGGCAGGAGAATGGCGTAAACCCGGGAGGCAGAGCTTGCAGTGAGCTGACATACGGCCACTGCACTCCAGCCTGGGCGACAGAGCGAGACTCCGTCTCAAAAAAAAAAAAAAAAGAAGTACCAGAGTCCTTGTGCTGGAGGTGAGGTGGGGGGTGGTCTTCAAGAGGCAAGGCAGCACAAGTACCTTCCCTTTGCCCTCTCTGATGCCCCCAGAGCTTCCAGAGGTGACCACATTCATAAAGCACTCAAGACCTAAGAGGACTTGGACCTTGCTCAGGGTTAATAGTGGGTATATATTGGGCACTAGCATGCACCAACACTGTACTAAGTGATTTATATTTAATACTTCATTTGCTCCTCACAGACATCCTATGAAGAAGGTATTAGTACCTACCCCACCCATTATACAGATAAGGACACTGAGGCTCAAACAGTTACATTATTTTCCCAAAGTCATATAGCCAGCAAGTGGCAACTCTACTAGGTCTGTTGCCAAAGCCTGCGTTCCTAATCATGTTTATATCCAGAAAGAGAACCCAGGGCTCAGCTCTAGCCTCATGGGCAGCATTTATTAAACAGCTTCTGTGTGACAGGTTCTGTACTAGGCAATAATTCAGCCCTTTTCCCCGTGGTCTTTCCTTCCTATGAAATTTGTTGTTTATTTCTTTTGCAAAAATTATTTCCTGGTTGTAAAAATAAAACATGCTCTGCCAGGCGCGGTGGCTTACCCCTGTAATCCCAGCACTTTGGGAGGCCGAGGTGGGTGGATCACTTGAGACCAGGAGACCAGCCTGAGCAACATGGTAAAACCCCATCTCTACTAAAAATACAAAATTAGCCAGGCATGGTGGCACATGCCTGTAATCCTAGCCTCCTACTTGGGAGGCTGAGGAAGGAAAATTGCTTGAACCCGGGAGGTGGAGGTTATGGTGACCCAAGATCGCGCCATTGCACTCCAGCCTGGGCAACAAGAGTGAAACCCTGTCTCCAAAAAATAAATAAATAAAAAATAAAACATGCTCATTGTAAATTATTTATAGTATAGGACAGTTCAAAAAAGGGAAAATAAAAATCACTTATAATTCCACCATCCTGAGATAACCACTATTAACATTTTGGTATTTTTCCTTCCAGTTTTGATTATAACCATATGTCTGAATTTTTATAAAGTATATACGAGATCAAATTAATTCTATGATTTGGCATCTTTCTTTTTCGGTTCAGCGATACATGAAGAGCAGAGCTGTCACCAGGACAGGGTGCAGCATCCTTTATTCTGCTGCTGTCAGGCTATTTCCTATTTTATCCTGCCGTAAACAATGCTGTGAAGAACATCACACAGGCAGGTTCAGTCCCACTGAGAAACTCAACAGTGAGTGAGCAGGCAAAAGAAAAATGGTAAGGCCTATTGCCTACCGGGTGAGCTGTTCCCATGGGGGTGTCCAGCCCCCAGGCTCCGTCGACGTTTTCTGGTTGCTCTGGGGTGCTGGTCTTCATCGCTGCTCTCTGCGGGGAACAAACACAAGCTGGAGGAGAAGCTCCGCCTGGACTGAGCTGGGAATGCGTTCATTCTGGTGGCCATTCTCAGAATTTAGTTTATGCGAAGAGTGTGGTTTGGTGGGAGGAACTCTGATTTGGGGACTGGAGATAGGAGACCTGCCACTCACATTCTGTGTGACTTTGGACAAATCCCTTAATATTTCTGTTGATTTCATGTCTACACAATATTTCTGCTGCTGCCTTGCCTACTTTATCAGACTTCCATGAAGATAAGACAAGGTCCCATGAGGCGTCACAGTGCTGAGATGTCTTCCATCCCACCAAGTGCAGGGGCTGTGTCATCTCTGTTTCCCCACCCATCACACTGGCTCTGGATGTTTGCTGTGTCTCCCACCCGCCGGAATATCCTTCCTGTTTGTCTGTGTTATTGAGAAGCTTAAGCTGATGTCACACCTCCTATAGAAAGCCTTTGCCAACTGCCCCAGCTCACACTGGTCTTGCCTTTCCCTGCTGGGGTTTCTATGGCACCAACTGTTTGTCCTTGACTCAATGGACATGAAGGCCAGCGGTCTCATGATGTGCCTCTCTCCAAACATTTCATCTCCTGAAGGACATGACCTGGGTTCTCCACCCTGCAAGGGTGCCTAGCTGTGAACAGGAGCTTGATCAAGACTTGAAAATGGTTGTCATTTGTGCTCTTTGGCCAGTCAGCATTCCAAGAATTCAGGTCTACGAGTTTCTGGCTCCAGGTCCAAAAGATTCCTTTATCCCAAGACAGGACCATGGGACCTCCTGGTCAGTCATGGGCAATTTAAAAAATTCCAGGAAACCAAATTAATTGTGCTTAAACATCAGTGCATCTGTGATCTCAACTGGATAAGGAGGAAGAGGGATTGGGAAGCTCAACAAAATCACAACAGTGGTGTTTATCTCAGAAGAGAGGATTTTGACTTCTATTCTCTTCTATATTTCACAAATATTCATCAGTGCAAAAAATGACTTTTTATTGCTAAAAAGATAATGCATGTTGCAAAATAAAGAAATACAGAAAACAAAGTAAAAGTTATTCCAATTTTCTTTCTTTTTTTTTTTTATTTGAGACAGAGTTTCTCTCTTGTTGCCCAGGCTAGAGTGCAATGGCGTGATCTCAGCTCACTGCAACCTCCACCTCCCAGGTTCAAGCGATTCTCCTGCCTCGGCCTCCCTAGTAGCTGGGATTACAAGCGCCCACCACCACGCCCGGCTAATTTTGTACTTTTAGTAGAGACAGGGTTTCTCCATGTTGGTCAGGCTAGTCTTGAACTCCCGACCTCAGGTTATCCACCCGCCTTGGCCTCCCAAAGTGCTGGGATTAGAGGCATGAGCCACCGCGCCTGGCTTTTTTTTTTTTTTTTTTTGAGACGGAGTTTTGCTCTTGTTGCCCAGGCTGGAGTGCAGTGGCACGATCTCGGCTCACTGCAACCTCCGCCTCCCAGGTACAATGATTCTCCTGTCTCAGCCTCCCAAGTAGCTCAGATTACAGGCATGTGCCACCACGCCTGGCTAATTTTTTTTTTTTTTAACTAGAGACGAGGTTTCACCATATTAGTCAGGCTGGTTGTGAATTCCTGACCTCAGGTGATCCACCCACCTTGGCCTCCCAAAGTGCTGGAATTACAGGTGTGCACCACCACAGCTGGCAATTACTCTAAATTTTATCCACTAGAGACAATTGCCATCAATGTGTGAATAAACATTGTTTTAGCTTTTTCTGTGATATATTCATAATACAATTTTTTTGGAGACAGGGTCTTACTCTGTCACCAAGGCTGAAGTGCAGTGGTACAATCAGGGCTCACTGTACCCTTGACCTTCCAGGCTCAAGTGATCTTCACACCCCAGCCTCCTGAATAGCTGGGATTACAGGTATGTGCCACCATGCCCAGCTAATTTTTTGTATTTTAGTAGAGATGGGGTTTCGCTATGTTGCCCATGCTGGTCTCGAACTCCTGGACTCAATTGATCCACCCACCTTGGCCTCCCAAAGTGCTGGAATTACAGGCGTGAGCCACCCTGTCCAGCCTAATACAATTTTTTTAAATAAAATGTATTATGGAATATATGCTGTTTAAAATGAAGACTATTTTTTGTGTATGCTCTCTGATTGAGTTACTTAAAAAATTACCCAAACTGCAGAACTGTGAGCTAAATGCACCTTTTTTCTTTCTCTTTTTCTTTTTTTTTTGAAACGGAGTCTCACTCTGTCACCCAGGCTGGAGTGTAATGGCACAATCTTGGCTCACTGCAACCTCTGCCTCCCAGCTTCAGTGATTCTCCTGCCTCAGCCTCCTGAGTAACTGGGATTACAGGCTCCCGCCACCACACTTGACTAATTTTTGTATTTTTAGTAGAGAAAGGGTTTCACCATGTTGGCCAGGCTGGTCTTGAACTCCTAACCTCAGGTGATCTGCTTGCCTTGGCCTCCCAAAGTGCTGGAATTGCAGGAGTGAGCCACTGCGCCCAGCCTCTTTTCTTTATAAATAAATAAAAAAAAAAAGTTAACCATGGCAGAAAGACTCACTGTTCGGCTGGGCATGGTGGCTCACGCCTATAATCCCAGCACTTTGGGAGGCCAAGGCAGGCGGATCACGAGGTCAGGACTTCAAGACCAGCCTGGCCAAGATGGTAAAACCCCATCTCTACTAAAAACATACAAAAAAATTAGCTGGGTGTGGTGGCATGCGCCTGTAATCCCAGTTACTCTGGAGGCTGAGGCAAAGAACTGCTTAAACCTGAAGGGGCGGAGGTTGCAGTGAGCTGAGATCGCGCCACTGCACTCCAACCTGGGCGACAGAGGGCGAGACTCTGTCTCAAAAAAAAAAAAAAAAAAAAGACTCACTATTCTTTGCTAGTGTCCCTAGTACCCATGACAAAGACTGGCACAAGTTTGGTGCTCAGTAAATATTTGTTAAATAAATGTAAGGAATACACTAATACGTTTTGGGTGGTTATCTCTGGGTAATGGAGCAAAGGGTGATTTATTTTCTCATATTTCTGTTTCCCTATATACTCTATATTTTCTATAAAGTACCTGTGTGTAATCTTTTACAGTTGACAATAAAACTTCATCTAAAAATAACTAGATTGAAACAGGTATGTGGGCTAGGCGCGGTGGCTCACACCTGTAATCCCAGTACTTTGGGAGGCTGAGGCCGGCGGATCACGAGGTCAGGAGATCGAGAACATCCTGGCTAACACGGTAAAACCCCGTCTCTATTAAAAGTACAAAAAATTAGCCGGGTGTGGTGGCGGGTGCCTGTAGTCCCAGCTCCTCGGGAGGCGAGGCAGAAGAATGGTGTGAACCCAAGAGGCGGAGGTTGCAGTGAGCCGAGATCACGCCACTGCACTCCAGCCTGGGCAACAGTGCAAGACTCTGTCTCAAAAAAATAAATAAATAAGTAAAAATAAATAAATAAATAAAACAGGTATGTGGGAGAGAGATGCTGGATGTGACTATGAGTGAGGGTCCTGCGTGTGAGGACGGCAGGGCTGCAATGAGGTACCCAGGCTTGGGGCCTCTGGGGTAACAGGTCCCCTCCGGGCCTGAAAAACAGGTAGTCATGTTCTGGCTGCAGGTCAGTCACGGTAGGATCAGGGACCAGGATCCTGAATGTCAGCCTGTCTTCATGCTTCTAGGACTGTGGCTTTCTCCTACTGCTTTCTCTTAGTGCTCCCTTTGGCTAATTTCAGCCAGTCCCATGTATGAGGTGGAGACTCCAGGGTGCCTGGGTGCCAGGGATTATGGTCACATGGGGGACATTTTTGGAGGAGCAGCACTCCTTGAGGGACAACCAGAGGACAGAACACTCCTTCCAGCCCAGGGAGGAGAAACAAAACGACAGGCAACAAACAGCCCCCTCCCTGCACCTGGAAACTCTTCTTCCAGAGCCAAACCTCATACACGGTGGGCTTGTGTGTTTTCTCGTTTTTTGTGTTTAAATGGGGAGATGGCTTCCTTTCCAGTGCCATGAGGAGACTGGCTACAAACAAACCCACGGGGCCCACTGGCCACTCTCCCTCCTCTGCTGAAATGATCATTGATTTTGTGGCTTTGGGCCTTGGTCTCAGCATTTGCAACATGAGGACATAAGACCAGAGCTTTTCTTTTCTTTTTTTTTTTTTCCTTCCAGCCCAGGGGACCTTCCATTAAATAAAATCTTAAGCTCAAGCCCACAGCATAAAAGAGATCATAGTGCAGGAGCTCTGGCTGAGGAGAGTTAGCCTCCCCGGTTCCACAAAAACCTCCAGGGAATCCCAAGTTGGTTACTGAGTTCTCTTAGAGCACGTCAGTTGTCCTCTCTGTGCTTCAGTTTTCTCACTTGTAAACTGGGAATAATAATAGTACCTTCCTATATGGGTTGCTGGGAGAATTGAGTTATTACATGCAAGTGCTTAGAACAGCTCCCAGCACAGAGTAAGCATTCAATAAATATTGCTGGTGCTACTACTATAAAATTCAGCCTTATATTTTGAATTAAAAGAATACAAATGAAAGAACATTCTACTGTTTCTTGGAGAATAATGTGGTTATTTGTAATCAAGATGCTATTGGAGGCCAGGCACAGTGGCTCACGCCTGTAATCCCAGCACTTTGGGAGGCCAAGGAGGGCAGATCACCTGAGATCAGGAGTTCAAGACCAGCCTGGCCAACATGGAGAAACTTTGTCTCTACTAAAAATACAAAAATTTGGCCAGGCATGGTGGCAAGTGCCTGTAATCCCAGCTACTCAGGAGGCTGAGGCAGGAGAATCGCTTGAGCCCAGGAGACAGAGGTTGCAGTGAGCCAAGATCATACCACTGCACTTCAGCCTGGGCGACAGAGCAAGACTGTGTCTCAAAAAAAGAAAAAAAAAAAAAAGATGCTATTGGAGATGTCGTTCCTCTAAACCCACTAAAGTACTGACAAGGAATCAATACTTAGGAATGATTTGTACAAAAATTCAAAAGGCAAAAGCTTTTGCACAAGGATGCTCATGAGCATGATAAACCTGGGAGGGGAAGATCATAACACAACAATTACTTTTAGAGCTATTAATATGTCCTTTTTGCTAAGACTTTACCTGTATAACGAATTTAATCCTCACAAGAATCCCATGAGGTATTATGTATTGCTATCATCCCCATCTTATAGATGAGGGCACTGAGGCAGCCAGGGGTTGAGCAGTTTACCCAAGAACATGTAGCTAATTAGTGGTAAAGACAGGATTTGAACCTGTAACACACGCTTTGACTATGGCACTGGGGTGCCCCTAATAAACCTAAATGTTACTTTACATGAGATGCAGCCACTTGAGGGGCTGTTCGGTAAACATTAAAAATAACTGCAGAGGCTGGGCGCGGTGGCTCACGCCTGTAATCCCAGCACTTTGGGAGGCCGAGGCGGTGGATCACGAGGTTAGGAGATCGAGACCATCCTGGCTAACACGGTGAAACTCCCTCTCTACTAAAAAATACAAAAAACTAGCCAGGCGTGGCGGCGGGCACCTGTAGTCCCAGCTACTTGGGAGGCTGAGGCAGGAGAATGGCGTGAACCCAGGAGGCAGAGCTTGTAGTGAGCCGAGATTACACCACTGCATTCCAGCCTGGGCGACTGAGCAAGACTCCATCTCAAAATAAATAAATAAATAAATAAAAATAGCTGCAGAGATATTACAGAATAACATGGCAAAAAGCTTAGGACAAGATGGGGGAAATTTTTAAATGGAGGACAGAATTGCCTATACTATCAATTATAACTGTGTACATAGAAGGACGTGTGGACAGATCGGCTCTAGAAGAGAATGTGGAGAAACAGTATTGGAGTTTCAAATACTTCAATGACTTCAAGTATGGGGGATTGTTTCCCCATGTAAATCTTTTTCTTGAATAATGCACATATATTTAAATCTTTGCTATACCTGAGGAGGAGGAGGAGGAAGAAGAGGATGAGGAGGAAGAGGAGGAGGAGGAAGAAGACTTGTCTCTTTCATACTGTTCTTGGGAAAATAGTCCAGCCTTCCCATCTTGCTTATGGAAATCTGTCTCTCCATCTGCAAGGCACATAGAGGCCAGGGGATGAGCATTTCCCACCCTTCCCACCCCAGGGACCACCCAGTCCTCTCCAGGGTTCTACTTGGACTTGAGCCAGGAAGGACTGGATTATCTTCCCAAATATCTAGGGCCAATGCAACGTGCAGGAGACCAAGGCTCTCAGAGATACCAGGGGCTCAAGGAAGGCTCAGTACAGAGATTTATCTGAATATGGACTCAGAAAAGGGGCTTCTAAGCCCCCTGCCCTGCCCAGAGAAAGCTAGACTCTGTAGAGGAGTTGCCAATTTAGGATCCTTTGTAAATTACAGCCAAGATGGGGTGTGATCAAGCCCTAAACCTTCCCATTCCCCATTCTGGGGTCACACAGGACCCTCTCTACCTTCTAGGGGTATCCCTAGTGCCAGCCCAAGCCCCCAGAGAATTCTTGAGATTTGGCAAGCAGCTGAGGGTCCCCATAGCTAGACAGCACAGGAGGACAGATTGGACCATGCACATGTATGTGTGCATGTGTGTAAAACCACTACTTCCCCACTTCAACTGTGATTTGAGGCCCTGTGCAAAATGAGCTGAGCAGGGTCTTCTTCCGTCCCTTCTACTTTTGGACTCCACCTCCCATGTGGTTTTGCCCAGAGGGTCAGAGAAGGCAAACGTACAGTCTAGATCTTCCGTTTCTCTGTGGACTTGACTGTTGTCTTGAGGCTGGGAGGGGGATACTGAAGTCTCCATGGCTTTTCCTGGAGGAATAACAATAATCAGTAGTTAATATCACCTTAGTTAATATCTTAATATATAAAGAGCTTGGCAAATAAATAAGAAAAAGACAAACACTCAACATTCAAAGGAATAAGAAAATTAATTAACAAAAAAAATGGTAGTTCTGTTGGCAAGCAAGAAGGCCGGGGCAGTGGAGGGAGGAGGGTTAAAGGAGTGGGGAATCGGGGTGGTAGGTATCGGTTAGACAACTAGCAGGGGGCTTCATGAAGGAAGTCAGTTTTTATCTGTACCTGACAAGTCAGGCACCATCCTTTTTTTTTTTTTTTTTTTTTTCTCGTAGAGACAGGGTGTCTCTATGTTGCCCAGGCTGGTCTTGAACTCCTGGGCTCAAGCAATTCTCCCACCTTAGCCTCCCAAAGTGCTGGGATTCAAGTGTGAGCCACCATGTCCAGCCTAGGTACAGTTGTTTTTTTTTTTTTTTTTTGAGACGGAGTCTCGCTCTGTTGCCCACGTTGGAGTGCAGTGGCCGGATCTCAGCTCACTGCAAGCTCCGCCTCCCGGGTTTACGCCATTCTCCTGCCTCAGCCTCCCGAGTAGCTGGGACTACAGGTGCCCGCCACCTCACCCGGCTAGTTTTTTGTATTTTTTAGTAGAGACGGGGTTTCACCGTGTTAGCCAGGATGGTCTCGATCTCCTGACCTCGTGATCCGCCCGTCTCGGCCTCCCAAAGTGCTGGGATTACAGGCTTGAGCCACCGCGCCCGGCCTAGGTACAGTTTTGACAGGAATGCAGATTTGAAGTTGGTGAACCAACTCCAATCCCACAAACATGGCCAACATCCAGGAATGACTGAGCAAAAAGGCAAGGGAGTCCTGAGCCCTGGCAGGCCTCACACACAGAGCCATCTGCCACCTCTTGACAGCTATGTGCACAGGAAAGAAGTTTCTTTTAGTGGAGCCGCTGTGCTGTGAGTCTCTGTTATAGCAGCTGAGCCAGGAAGTGCAGGCTCCCTTTTGATTCCTTGCCCCATTTCTTCTACTCTCAGCTCTGAAGCTGAGACCTCAAATCTGAGAGGAGGTAGATTTACTAGTCTCTGACTCATTTATTTTTTACTTTTTTATCTGAGACAGAGGTCTTGCTATATCGCCCAGTCTAGTCTTGAACACCTGGGCTCAAGCAATCCTCCCACCGCAGCCGGTAGCTGGGACTACAGGCATGTGTCACTGTGCCCAGCCTCTGACTAATTTAAACCACAGTTTCTCAGCCTCAACATGACGGACATTTGGGACTGGGTAACACATTGTGAGATGTTTAGCAGCCTCCTCCCTCCCAGATGCCAGTAGCACTTTCCTGTTCAGCTGTGACAATAAAAAATGTTTCCAGACATTGCCAAATGACCCCTGTTGTGGGGCAAACATCGTCCCCCATTTGAGAATGGTCTAGAGAATCTACCACAAGACCTTGGCAGGAAGCCTCCTCTCCTGTGTCTTAGAGCCAGATTGCCTGGGCTGAAATCCTGTCTCTGCCTCTTCTAGCGATGGAAGCATGGGCAAGTTACTTAATCCCTCATTGTGCCCTGGGTTTCTCATCTGTAAAATGGAGACAGTAATAGTGCTTACCTCATAGTATGTGAAAATGGCAGGACAGTCCTTAGCAGGGTCGTTGTGAATGTATGTTTCCTCCTCTACAGGCCTCCTCTTACCCTTGGACATCCAGTGTCCAGTCCCATCCCCGCTCATCCCCCATCTCCTAGACCTCAGACTCCATTACAGGTTTTTTTTTTTTTTTTTTTTTTTTTTTAGATGGAGTCTTGCTCGCTCTGTCACCCAGGCTGGAGTGCAGTGGCACGATCTCAGCTCACTGCAACCTCTGCCTCCGGGATTCAAGTGATTCTTCTGCCTCAGTCTCCTGAGTAGCTGGGATTACAGGTGCCGCCACCACACCCAGCTAATTTTTGTGTTTTTCATAGAGACAGGGTTTCACCATATTGGCCAGGCTGGTCTTGAACTCCTGACCTTGTGATCTGCCCGCCTTGACCTCCCAAAGTGCTGGGATTACAGGCGTGAGCCACCGCACCTGGCCTACCCTTTTCTAGAATAAAACTTCCCATTTCTCAGAGCAGAATTCAGCTAGGCATTAGGAAGTCACTAGCCATTAAAACGCATCGATATCAAGATGGAATGACTGACAACAGAAGCCTCTAGGGCATATTTCTATTTTGAATAGTGTTCTTTGCACGCAAGAGGTGACTAGTATGTATTCATTGGCTGAGATCATCTCTAATGAAGGTATTTCAGCTAGAGTGGAGAAGAGTTGTAGAGTCACATGGGGGAAAGAGAGCTGCTGGCTGATGTCAGATAGACTGAAGTTTACAAAGTGATGAACTCTTTTTCCAGTCTCATCTCCATCCTGCTCTGTGTCCTGGTTACACACAGCACTTTTGGCTTAGTCCATTCTTTCCTAAGGTCAGATGCAAATCTGACCTTCCAAGCACAGGTCAAAACCCACTTCCTTCATGAAGTACTATTTCAGTTGTCTAAATGATACCCACCAACTCTATTCCCCACTCCCCTAACCTTACTCCCTCCACTATCCCTAGCTTTTTTTTTTTGACACGGTCTCTCTCTATCACCCAGGCTGGAGTGCAGTGGTGCAATCACAGCTCACTGCAGCCTTGAACTCCTGGACTCAAGCGATCCTCCTGCCTCAGCCTTCTGAGTAGGTAGGACTACAAGCATGTACCACCATCCAGGGTTTGTCTCCTTCCCTAGATCATTAATGTAGTCTAAGTAGGGACTAAGGCTGATTCATCTCTGTGTCACCCATACCCTGTACAAAGCCGGGAACAAAGGAAAAATGATGATAACAAGCAGCTATACGTGCCTACTATCTGCCAGGCAAGGTTCTAACAGTTAACTTGTGTTAAGTAATCTATTCCTCACCACAAACCTATGAAGGCTCACTAGGGCCATGCCCATTTTATAGGTCAGAATATTGGGGCACAGAGAGGATAAGAAACTTGCCCAGGACCGGCCGGGCATGGTGGTTCACGCTTGTAATCCCAGGACTTTGGGAGGCTGAGGCGGGTGGATCACGAGGTCAGGAGATCGAGACCATCCTGGCCAACATGGTGAAACCCAGTCTCTACTAAAAATACAAAAATTAGCTGGGTGTGGTGGTTGCAGGCCTGTAATCCCAGCTACTCGGGAGGCTGAGGCGGGAGAATCACTTGAACTCAGGAGGCAGAGGTTGCAGTGAACTGAGATCGCGCAATTGCACTTCAACCTGGGCGACAGGGCGAGACTCCGTCTAAAAAAAAAAAAAAAAAAAGAAAGAAAGAAACTTGCCCAGGACCACATGGTAAGTGGTTAAGCAAGAGTAGTTGCTCAGCCCATGCTGGGAGACTAAAGGAGTGGTGCTGGCTCCTCTTTTCAGGACCCTAACATTGGCACCAGGAAAGAGGACACACTAACAGTCATCAGAGTGTTATGCAAATATGCTGACCTGGCTTGTATTTAGCTACTGATGGAGCCTTGAGTAATTGTTCCCATAGCCAAGGGAACTTCCTTAGGCACATCTTTAGCACACTGAAGGGGAGGAATGGAACCATCACAGAGGGAAGACCTGACGTGGCTCTGTTTCTCCTTTTAATGTCCTTGTCTGTTTCTCCTCCACCCATTTTTCTTTTTTTGCCTTTTTTCTTTTCTTTTTTTTTTTTTTTTTTTTTTTTTTTTTTTTTTTTTTCGTTCCTCTTCCCTTCTTCTTTCTCCTCTTCCTTTCTCCTTTTCTACTTTCTTTTTTTTTTTTCTTTCTTTTTCTTTTCTTTTCTTTTCTTTTTTTTTCTTTTCTTTTTGAGACAAGGTCTCACTCTATTACCCAGGCTGGAATGCAGTGGCACGATCACCGCTCTGCAGCTTCAGCCTCCTGGGTTCCAGTGATCTTCCCACCTCAGCCTCCCAAGTAGCTGGGACTACAGGCATTTGCCACCACAGCCAGCTAATTTTTTAGTTTTTATATTTTTGTAGAGATGTGGTCTCACTATGTTGCCCAGACTGCTCTTGAACTCCTGGGCTCAAGTGATCCTCCCACCTTGGCCTCCCAAAGTGCTGAGATTACAGGCACGAGCCACCACCCCCGGCCTCCACACAGGTCTTATTTAACATAGGGAAGGACTGAGGCTCAGGTAGAGGAAGAGACTTGTTCAAGGTCTTCCAGCTTATAGATGGATTCAAATCTGACTCCTACCCCAACAGAGAAGCTTCATGCCCCAGCTACCCCCTGATTAGAGGCCTCTAGCACCACCTCAGGTGGCCCCCACATCCAAGGCTGATCCTACAAGGAAATGGAATGCCCGACTTTCTGGCACTTTTCTCCAAAAAGCCCAGCCCTGCTGAGTCATGGGTGGTGCCAGGGCCTCTGTACCCACGGGTCCTGCTAAACTGGATTTCCCCTTCAGGTGAGCCCAGATTTCCTGAGCTCCTGCTGTCACAGAGCCTGGGCCCAGGGCAGGAGGGCTGACAGAGCACACCGAGCCATGACAGCCTCACAGCACTCTCCTCTCCCAGCTCTCCTGACTCTCATACAACCAGGAGAGAGGCAGGGTGGAGATTATTGTCATACTTTACAGAAGAAGAAACCAAGGCCCTGAAATGGAGAGGAACTTGCACAGGTCATGGAGCCACACAGGGGCAAGGCTGGCTCTTTCATCACATCAGATCAATTTGGTTCAACTTTTATGTAACAAATTGTGAGTTGTTTTTCAGTTGCCATGGACCCGCAGGTTGACAGTCACATAACCTGAGCATGCCAGGTTACTATGCGTGCCACTACAGGGGAACCTAAGTGCTCAGACTGAGGAGTGGGGACTGAATTAAGAAGCAGATAGCGCATGCCAGGATTCAGTATCCAATAAGATCAAGCTCTGGTATCGCCCCATGGCAGGATCCAATCAGATCATGCCTCCCACATCACTTCATTGCAAGATCCAATCAGGTCATACCTCATTACCGTATGCTTATAAAACCTGCCCAGCTCCCAGCTTGGTGAGACAGATTTGAGTGTTTCCTCCTATCTCCTTGCCACTGGACTTATAATAAAGCCTTTCTTTTCTCAAAAGCCAGTGCCATGGTATTGGCCTCTATGTGCATTGGGCGGTGAGCCCATTGATTGTGTGGTAACAGCTCCAGAACCCTGCTTTTTGATTCAGGGGCTGCTTGTCTTCCTGGTGTCCCATATTGGATGAGGGGGCTGAGGTGACTGAAACGGAATTGGATTTCAACAGAAAGCGAAAGGCAGAGTAGGATAAAAGTTTCAGTGGAGGAGGTTGGGGGCAGCAGGCAGTTGAAGGGGTAAGAGCCAGAAAGGGTGGAGAAGATCAGCCTGGGCTTTGAATGCCAAACTGAAGATGGCCAACTTTTCCTGAGGGTAGACCGAGGAACGTGTCTGTGGGCCAGAAAGGCAGGGCAAGCTCAGCTAAACAAGCCCAGTGTGGGAAATGGGGTGGGAGCTCTGGAAGCAGAAACAGCAGCTGGGAGGGGAACAGAGTGGACAGAGGAATGGACATTTGCTGCTTTTGCCCACCTGGCATGAAAGCCCCCATCTTCTGGTGATTACACAGGATTTCGCTTTGAGGAAATCCAGCCCCCACTGGACAACAGCTTGGGGCTGGCCCTCGATGTGTCAAGCCCTCCCTGGCTGAGGGGTGGGGACAGGGCCAAGGGCAGAGCCAAGGGTACAACAGTGTTCTCAGTAATCTCCTTCAGCTTCCCAAGCCACCTCAGACAAGCACGCACTCTGATTTCAAACAGACCCTTTTTCGTTTTTGTTTTGGTTTTTTGAGACAGGGTGCTGAGATTACAGGCATCAGCCATCGCGCCCAGCCTCAAACAGATCCTTGTTATGCAATCACAGCTCCAAAATAAGTACTCCCCAAAATAACTGCACTCCCTCCCTAAGCCCCTTTTACATGGAATCTGTGGAGTGGTCACTCCCATTACCCAGGTTAGAACATCAGCCTCTCTTTCCGCAGGAATCTGACTTGTGACATGAGTGACCCAGAGCTCTAAAGGCTGGCATGGGTGGTTTGCCCTGAGACAGAGCTCTGAAGAGGCTGGTGCTCTCTATTCTGCCCCCTGGTCACAGCCTCTTCTGCAGTCTTGTTTTTTACCTTTCCCTCTGTTCTGTGAGACCCACCCCCACCTCCTTATCTTCCCAGGAAAGTCTTTTTTCGTAGCCTGAGGTGGCTTTGTGACTTGCAACCAAAGCACTGTAGTTGAGACAAATGTCTGGGGAGGGCTCCAGCCTCCTGCAGAGCTCAACAGGGCTCATGGCAGACCAGCTCCACAGACTTCACTCCAGCCTTCAGGCTGAGGCTTGGCAGTGTCCCTGAGCCCCCATATGAGGGGCTGGGGCTGAACTTCAGGCTGGGTTGGGGACCTCCTGGGTTTCCCCCAGCCCCCTCCTTTCCCTCATCTTCCAGCATTGTGATCACCAAAGCAGCAGCAGCCCTGATGATCCTGCCCTAGAGACTTGTCCCCCTGCTGAAGGTGCACCTCTTGGACCTGGTTCAGCACCTCAGTGGTTTTTCTATCACTGTGATAACAAACACCCACCAACTTAGTGGCTTAAAACCACACAAATTATCTCACAGTTCTGCAGGTCAGAAGTCCAACGTAGGTCTCACTGGGCTAAAATCGACGTGTTGACAGAGCTGTGTCCCTTTTTGGAGGTTCAAGTGGAAAGTCTGCTGCTGCTGCTGCTAGTGCAGCTGCTTCTCCTTCAATTCCCTTCTCTAGGCCCTTTATCTCATCCATCAAACAGGGAATAACGTCACACACTAAGGGCTCTGGGGCTCAGATGGGGTTTTGGATAGCACAGGACGCAATATCATGCCCTTACCCAGGGGGCGATACTGACGGATGCCCTGATGAAGCCAGTGGGACAACGGGGTCTGGTAGCACCTGCTTCAAGTCAGGCTTAAGCACTTCACTTCCCAGCTCATGATTTTGGAAAATTACTCTACATCTCCAGGCCTCTGTTATCTCATCTGTAAATTAGGGATAGTGTCACTGTCTTGCAGGGTTGCTGTGAGGATTGAGATTAAAAGGACTTAGATTCTGAGCTCCCTGGAAGTAGAAACCATGTTTTTCTGGCTCCCGGCTACATTCTAGCCCCTGGCTTAGACGAAATGCTTAATTAAAAGAAGTCACAAAGTGCTGAACTTAAGAGCTTAAAGAAATAATATTAGGAGGCTGGGCGCAGTGGCTCACGCCTGTAATCCCAGCACTTTGGGAGGCCGAGGCGGGCGGATCACGAGGTCAGGAGATCGAGACCATCTTAACACTGTGAAACCCCATCTCTACTAAAAAACACATACACACACACACACACACACACACAAAAATTAGCCGGGCATGCTGGCAGGTGCCTATAGTCCCAGCTACTCGGGAGGCTGAGGTGGGAGAATGGCACGAACCCAGGAGGCGGAGCTTGCAATGAGCTGAGATCACACCACTGTACTCCAGCCTAGGCGACAGAGCAAGACTCCATCTCAAAATAAATAAATACATCAATAAATAATAAAAAAAGAAATAATATTAGGACTACAAAGATTCTTTGTATCTCCCTCTCCTCTTATAGCATCTTCCACTTGTTTACACCCCTTCTTCTTTCTCACTACTCTCCCCCAGGCCCACCTTACCTCCCCACAGATCTCCAGGCTTGGAGTTCTCTCCCCCTCCCCAAGTTGGAATTCTATAGTGTTGCATCCAGGAGATCAAAACTGAGACCCAGAAAGGGAAAAGGACTTGCTCAAGACCACACAGTGAGGAGTGTGGATATGAACACATCAACATCAACACCAGAGTGTGAGGGGAACCGTGCAGAGGGAAAGAAAGAAGATGCTACGGTTTACACCTCCACCATTTCGTCTAAGTCAGCCAGGCAGTTTAATAGTGGGATGACAAGCCGCACTGGCCGGCCATCCAGCTGACTGTACTAGATGAACTTCCATGAATCTGGGGGAACCTTATGGCCACTGCATACCCAAGGATGCAGACAGGACCTGGGGTTGCCCCTGAGGAGTGTGGAATGGCACCTAGGCTGCAACAAAAAAGTGAAAAGGGACAAAATCAAGTGTGATACCCAAGTTTCAAAATAATGGCTGTGGCCAGGAACAGTGGCTCACGCCTGTAATTCCAGCACTTTGGGAGGCTGAGGTGGGCGGATCACGAGGTCAGGAGATCGAGACCATCCTGGCTAATATGGTGAAACCCTGCCTCTACTAAAAGTACAAAAAATTAGCCGGATGTGTTGTGGCACGTGCCTGTAGTCCCAGCTACCTGGGAGGTTGAGGCAGGAGAATTGCTTGAACCCAGGAGGCAGAGGTTGCAGTGGGCTGGGATGGTGCCACTGTACTCCAGCCTGGGTGACAGAGCGAGACTCCGTCTCAAAAAAACAAAAACAAAACAAAAACAAGGCCAGGCGCAGTGGTTCATGCCTGTAATCCCAGCACTTTGGGAGGCCGAGGCAGGCAAATCACAAGGTCAAGAGATCGAGACCATCCTGGCTAACACAGTGAAACCCCGTGTCTACTAAAAAAACAAAAAATTAATCGGGCATGGTGGTGGGCACCTGTAGTCCCAGCTACTCGAGAGGCTGAGGCAGGAGAATGGTGTGAACCTGGGAGGCAGAGCTGGCAGTGAGCCAAGACTGCACCACTGCACTCCAGCCTGGGTGACAGAGCGAGACTCCGTCTCAAAAAAAAAAAAAAAAAAAAAAGGAATAATAATAATAATGGCTGTACAGAAAGAGGATGGTTGGGTTCTGTGTGGAGGCTGTTTATACTCAAAGATCTAGGATTTTAAAAAGATAATCTGGAAGGAAAGAAAACAGTGCAAGCATCGAGGTTGTTGTCTAGCACATAGTAGGTGCACAACCAATGTTTGTTAAAGTGGCAATATGAGCCAACAAGGTGATATAGCTACAGAGCAAAGCTACCATAGCCTTAGGTCATATTAACAGAAGCACAGAGTCTACGGTGAAGAAGGTGGCCCACATCCCACCATCCCCAATCCTCCATCCTGGGTTTACTCCTGGGTCCCGCATAGAATAAGTTCTGGACAGACAAAGGGAATCCAGAGGATGTAGCGGTTACAGAGACTACACCCAAGAAAAGTGGCTTGGGGAGCAGGGCACTCAACCTAGGGATGAGCTCCACATGGATGTGCCCAGTCACTGTCCCCAAGTCTCTGCAGAACTACTCCAGGACGCCAGGACAGGGGGAGCAGGTAGGGCTGTGAGCTCAGAAGGAAAGGTCAGTACCTTGAGGAAGTCACCAGGGAAGTTGCCAACTTCAATATATAAAATAATTTTCTTCCTTTTTTTCTTCCTTTTCTCTTTCTTTCTTTTTCTTTCTTTCCTTCCTTCCTTCTTTTTCTTTCCTTCTTTCTTTCTCTTCCTTCCTCTCTCTCCTTCCCTCCTCCTTCCCTCCTTCCTTTCTTCCTTTCTTTTTCTTTCTTTCCTTCTTTCTTTTCTTTCGTTTTTCTTTCTTTCTTGCCTTCCTTCTCTTTCTTTTTCTTTCTTTCTTTCTTTTTCTCTTCCTTCCTCTCTCTCCTTCCTTCCCCTTTCCTTTCCTTTCCTTTCCCCTTCCTTCCTTCCTTCCTTCCTTCCTTCCTTCCTTCCTTCCTTCCTTCCTTCCTTCCTTCCTTCTTTTCTAGAGACAGGGTCTCACTTTGTCACCCAGGCTCAAGTGCAGTGAAGCAATCATGGCTCACTGCAGCCTTGAACTGTTGACCCTGGGCAATTCTCCTGCTTCGGCCTCCCAAAGTGTTGGGATTGGCCTTCCAAAGTGTTGTGCTGAGCCACTGCACCTGGCCTCAATATATAAAATAATATTCTAAAAATGACAACAACTTTGGGGTTGTCCTGAGCATGCTGCCATGTGAAGTGGCAAGTTGAGGAGTGGCAGGGGTTGGCTTAGATGTTCTTAGCTCAGAACCTATTAGTCTCTCAAGCAATTCTTTCCAAAGTACAGGAGGAAAATATTAATTTATTGATTTCTATGTAATTTTTAACTAAAAAATAGTTAATAGTATATAGGTTAGCCCTGATGTGCACCCTTGGATCATATGTCAGACACCACATGTTATGTCCATTAAGTGGGGCTCCCAGAGGCCAGTGGGGAGCCCCACAAGGCAGACAGGTTGACCGTGACCACGTCTTCCTTTTCTTTACATTCAGACTATTGCCATATATTGTGGTATGCAGGAGCCCAGTTGGGTTAATTTGAGGCTCAAATGAAATAGCTTTCACTGAATCAGCCCCCTTATTGTTGACGAGTGACTTCAAAGAGTCTGCAAAGAAACTGTGGATGGAGATAACCCTAATCATGAAAGTACAAACAAGCAACAGGAAAAGTGTGGGACAGACTTGTCCTTGCTCTTAGTTTAGCCGCATTACCACGTTGGAAAGAGCAATGGAAAGGAATCTCACATACAAAACAATTCTTTCCTGTGTATTTGAGTTCCTGAAAAAATGAGAAACAAATACAAACTCAAAATACAAAATAATAACGAGAAACAAATACAAACTCAAACTCAAATACAATTGTATTTGAGTTCCTGAAATAATAATGAGAAACGATTTGAAAGGTGGATTTCCATCCACTATCACTGGTGATGAAATTCACTGTGAACGTACACTGGTCCTGAGACATCAGCTAATGGCCACTATACTTGTATATACATGTATATATCTATGCATATGTATATGCTGGGGGTGCCCAGAGCATTCTTCTTGAGAAGATTGTGCAATCAAAAAGTTAGATGAGTGCTGCTCTAGATCCTTAGACCTAGCTAGACACTAGGGGATGCTAGTCCTGGTTTGGGGTTTTTGGGTCTAATCGGATAATTTGTTTCAGATTTAGGGACAAGGAAAACTAGAAGGGGAGTATGCACTCCACAAAACATTTTTGAGGCTCCACTGACACATTTGAAGATTAATAGGAAGAAACCTAAAACTCATTAAAGGCTTTCTCTGGCTCTGATCATCCTAACTTGGTGTAGTGTTGAGTCAAACACCAAGGCACCAAGGTGGGTGCCCTGCTAGACAGAGCCAGGCAGGTCTCTTCTCCCACAGCCTGGAATCTCAGTCTCTGTTTCTCTCTCTTTCCCATCTTTCTTTCTCGGTTTCTACCCACCTCTCTTTCTCTCTCTCTTTCTCTCTCCCTCTCTCTCACTCACACACACACACACACTCACTCTCTCTCACAACACACACCACACACATACACACACTCACACACACACACAACTGACAATAAGAAACAGAAAGGTGGCATCCAGTACAAGAGCTTGTCAGTTCTCTCGAACATCAGACAGACCTAGATATTCAGTTCCCGCCTTGACCCCTCACTGACTCTGCGACCTGGAGCGTGTCACATCCATTCTCAGAGCTTCAGAATCCTTAGCTGGAAAAATGGGCATGCCTACAACTCAACAGACAGTGACAAATAATCCAGTTTAAAAATGGACAGGGGACTCGAATAGACATTGCTCGAAACAAGACGCAGAAATAGTCAATAGCACATAGAAAGATGCTCCACATCGCTGGGTACGGTGGCTCACGCCTGTAATCCCAGCAATTTGGGAGGCCGAGGCGGGCAGATCACCTGAGGTCGGGAGTTCGAGACCAGCCGGACCAACATGGAGTAACCCCGTCTCTTCTAAAAATACCAAATTAGCCAAGCATGGTGGCGGGTGCATGTAATCCCAGCTACTCGGGAGGCTGAG